AAGTTTATTGAATATTGCTTTTATGCATTCTATTTATTACACGAGGAATTGAATCCTCCAGTGAAACTTGTTGCCACTCCTGCTTTTCTCGCTTTCTTCCTCCTGGCTGTCCTGCTACTTCATTATCTGCTCCTCTATCTTGATATTTCCCTCCCCATCTAACTCCCCCTCTCTCCTCTCTAATGACAGTCAACAAGGCTGATAGGCTGATATATTTACACTGGTGGCAAGGGAGGAAGAAATCATCAGCCAAACCCTGTCCTGCCCCTGGGCTCTGACAGGCGGGGCTTGGAGGAAACCCTGGCCGCTTAGCCACTCCCAGAGCAGGGCATATCTCTCTCTGCTGTCCCTGGCCCTGCTCAGATCTCACAGCTAGATGGGACCAAAGCTTTCTCAGGCCCGCAGACTCACAGACACACTCCCACATCAGCTACCGGGGGGAGAGTGAGCGGAGAAGAGAAAGCAGCAGACAGAGTGGAAGGCTGCTGCTGGTGTGCACGCTGGCTGAGAGAAAGACAAGAAAGCCTGTGTTTGTTTTGTTTTGGGGTTTTTTTGCTGAGCCACTTTTCCTCTAGATCTGTTGATGAGCCAGGCTGGGTCAGCTCTGGGTCTCGTCTCAGTGTGGGGTTCAGAGGTCGGGGTCAAAGTGTCACAGCTTCTTGAGTGTGCGTGGCTATTTTGCAACTTTTGAACACTGGAACTGTACTGTAAGCATTATGACTCTTCTGGGCTCTGAACACTCCATACTAATACGAAGCAAGTTTAGATCGGGTAAGTCCAGTGATGACTGAAACGTAACTTTTATTGCTTCTCTGTTCTGTCACAACTTATGAACACTTCCTGTGTGCAGTTGTGTTTATTCTCAGAAGCCGCACAAACAGTTTGTCTGCCAACAGCATTTGAAAACAATTCTCCGCACGTTGTGTCATTCGTTTGTGTTCGCGGATGATGTTGATACTCAGAACGTGCTCCTCAGTAACAGCAGCCGAGTGACAGGTGTGTGTAATACACAGTGCTGGTATGTGATGGCACAAGGAATAGCAGAGGGAGGTCAGAAAGCTTCCCGTCACTCTGTCACAGCGTGATGGATTTACAGACGTGATGTCCATCAAACTCCTTGTAAATGACACGAGAGAGAATGATGCTTCAGACAGGTTAGTGCACTTGTTCAGTCCCAGTCACTAACCCTCTGCTGCTGCTGAGGAAAGCCAGTCAGACATTGTCGTTTTCAGGCTTTGATAAAAAGAGATTAGAGGTCAAAGGTTATCTAAATATGGCTGCATTGGAAGCTGCGTGTACCTGAGCATATCAAAGCGGGAGGAAGGGTCTGGACTACAGCACTGACTTAAACTCCTTCTAATACACATCAGATGTTGGGGATTTGTATCCATCTGTCTCCTTCACGTACACAGACTCCTTAATTCCGTCACTTTCTTATTCCCACACGCACTCTCCTTAGTTCGAACAGACTTTGTCTGAGCTCGCACGTGTGTGTTTTCAGCGCGTGTAGTCTGAGCAACACTGCCACCTCCCTGAGGAAATTGCAACTGATCGTAGCTGCTCGGCTTGTTCTACACTCAAAGAGCAGCTGCTTCAAAGCGGTGGCTGCGGTGGCTCTGGTTGCTACCTCCAGTTTGCCTGTGAGCTGTAATTGCGTTCCAGAAATGGCAGGCTAAATGATGCTTTTCCTTTGATTTGTTTAGAGCACATCAGTAGGGTGGGAAATGACCGCCGGTGCTCTGGGGAGCATGAGAGGCTGGATTCAAAAGCAGCATAAGGCTTTTCATGAAGGTGGCTCAGGGTCTGTGTTGCTCTAACCCTTGTGCTATAGCTTGTTATAATACAACACAGATGTAGAGATATTGTCCTTATGCCAAAGTTTGCTTGATATTACAGTCACAGGGGTTAATGCCGCCTGATAAAAGTGACTGCTTGAGCTCATTTATGAGCGCATGAGTGAAATGTTGTGCGTAAGCGAAGTAAAATTGCACGTAAATGTCTGTGTGATAACTGCTGATGGCAGGGAAGTCGAAGATGATCTGCTGTCAAGGATTTGCAGTTTCTTTAACATGATGTAGCTCGACTTACACTTAGTGGAAACCAGCAATTGTCACTCCTATGCACCATGCTTAAACGACAATCAAACTAATCAAAGCCATGGGAACTGCTACCGCATGGTTGAAGCTAAAAGGAAAGATAAAGATCTCATTTAAGTGCTCCCCACGGAGCGCCGAATCTGAGTGTGAGAGGTACTGACGAGTTCTCATGCCGATTTGATTTAGAGCTCAAATGACCACAGTCCATGCTCTTAAGCTCAAGGCCATTGCATAATGTTATGACGGAGACGTCAAATGCAGTGCCACATGTTGACCATGTGTAAATCAGCAGTGCATACATGTGCTGTCCTTAATATATAACTATTTCACACCCATTTTCACTTTTGATCCCAAATGTGTAAAACATAAACACGCTGGATGTTTTCAACCTGGATCAGCGAGAAAATGGAAATAGTAAAACAGGAAACTTAGTTTGATGTTGTTTTCTGAGCTGGCAAATCTGTATCTGTGAGTTTATCAGTTATAAGCAGAATAAGCCTTTCACTCCACCGGTGTCATCTATAAAAAAAAATAATCCATCTGACCCACAGAGAAAAAAGAACAAAATAAACAACAACAAAAAAAGAAACTATTAACTTAGCTTAAAAAAAAAAACAGGAGGAACCAGCAGTCTGCACTAAATGGATAAGCATACCATGCAGGCAGTCACATGACAAAATTTGTGGGTTTAGACTTTGTTTAGGAAAGTCGCTGTTCTAGAGCCTTCATGACACTCCTCCAGGCGCTAATTGCAACAGTTATTTTGAAGTATTATTCAATAAGTGATCAGAATAGGCTGTAAGTATAGAATCACTAGTCAAAAGATATAAAAAAATTGCTATAATAACCTACAATAACATTTTAAAAAACACTTTTGCTTCTCTTTTAGTAAATCTCTAATGTTAAATGTACTAAACTAGCACTAAATTAGTCTCATCTTGCATTTATAATGCTGTGCTATAACGAACGTGTCACCAGGTAAAATTGCAGCAGAATTCTTGTCTCTTCTGACAAAGTTGGTAATAAGTTACGAAATGAGCGACTACCCCACAACACGCTCCGCTGACGATGATTTGCAGTCCGGCGACACATAAAAGCACTCACCGGTGTTTCTGAACTCAAGTGAGATTTTTTTTTTTCGCCTTCTTCAACATACATCCAAATCTCCTTATTACCCCACTGTTCACTATGAGTCACTGTCAATGGAGCCGCTCCAGAAACTGTACCTTAATGGTGGAGCGTTGGCTCTCCTCCACGCAGGTCCTGGCTCGCATTCACAAACCTGACTCCAACTGTCCAAGACCGTAGAAATAAAATATGCCAGTTGTGTTTTAAGCTGGATTTTCACTTTATGCAGAGGTATTAGACTAAAATAAACTTAATACTTCATTTAGGAATACCTGTTTATTACAAGTTATACAGTTACACCCATATATCTGTCGTGAACACATTCCTGATTGCACTAAGGGAAAGTTCAGGAGGATTCATGTAACAAATGCAACCAGTGTTGGAGCTTAAGTGTAAAAGTGAGGTGTTATTATTATCTTGTTTTGGGTTTTTTTTTGTTCTTTCTTCAGTGTGGTGGCTGTGAGTGTGTGAGGCACAGAACAATAAATCACAGTATCACTCAACTGGCTTGTGCAATTATCAGCACTTCACTGGTGCGAACCAAAGCCAAACGACAATTTATTTACACTATAAATCTGAAAAATTGGGTTTGTCTGTCCTTTATTGTCAAGAAAGCCCAAGTTAAAACAAGTGTCTTCAGTTTCAAAGTCAACATTCAGAGAGGCGTAGTATGGTTCAGTGATCTGTGATTACATAGCTTGGCTCTGGCCCACTTTCTATAACATGTATACGCTGCAATCAGGACAAGCGAGCCTTTGGTCTCAGCAAAGCTTTTGGGGAGAAAGAGCAGATTACATGGCAGCTGCTGTGCTTTTCCAAGCACAATTATTGATAACCTGTCGGTGAACATAATAAAGAGCAGCTGATGTTTCACCTGGCTTTTTCCAAGAAAATTAGAGACAAAATTTGCACGTACGACCAGATTCAAGCTATTCAGGCTGATTGTTACGTTAGCCCGGTATCATGACACGATGTTTGGATAGCGCATTGATTTCCATAAGTCATTTTGTTCATTCAAATGCATTCTTTTAGGACACCTAATTTTTATGAATACATATAATGCTGTGTTTAAATCAAATTAATCAAATTTGTTCATATTTGATCTGACAAATGTTTCAGGCGTGTAACTCTGTCCTAAAAGTTTCACAGGTTATCTGCTTTTGAAGAGAAAAAATCAAAGAGGAAGTTTCTTCATAAATAACAGTTATTCTGTCTTTTGTCTGACAATGAAATTAATTTATCTTTTAAAGCCCTTTTTCTAAAGCATATAGAGAAGGGGAAATAATTATTTGATCCCTTACTAAATTTGTAAGTTTACTCGCCTACAAACAAATGGACAGTCTTTAATTTTCATGACTGTCCTTT